GGCCACAAGAGGACCATCTGCTCCTGAAGATTTAGAGAGGAACTCCATGCTGCAATATGGAAAGAAGACGAACAGTTTAGTGATCCAAAACCACTAACCACAAACAAAAAGATTCTGATAGCAGCTTAAATAACACATTTACCTACATTTCTCATGTTGGTATACAGAAATTGAGGCTTTAATTGAAAATATCAACTTTGAAAGATTTGGATTGTAAAAAGAAAATGGAAATTTTCATAAATTTTGAAATTCAAGCATTTGAATGCTAGAAAGAAAACGTGAAGTAAAATGTAGTCTGTATTGAGACAGACGTGTTCTTTTGCCCAATGCATGCATTAGGACGAATAAGAAAATTATTGACAGTGCAGTTACTATGTTATTATCACAGGAGAGGAACATGTAATCCAACAGTAATGTGTCATCTTATGATAAATAAAAACATAAAGTCCTAATAAATAAACAAGTTAAACAACAAAATAAAGAATGCAACAAGGTTAATGATTGTGTTAAGCGCAAACAATTCACGCAACAGCATTTGTCAACATGAGCATAGCTCAACTGGCATGAAGCATGTGTTCTTGACCAACAGGTTAGAGATTCTAGGAAAACACTGACTAAGGGCATTAGCCAAAAGAAAAGCCAAGACAAAGTAGGTGCATTAGTATTAATAGATTACAAAAATGCCTTAAAAATCTACTTTTCAAAAGACTTAAAAGGATGGAGCATCAACAAGGATCAATTCCATTAACAAGACAGCTTCTAAAAAATGGGAAACAAATTGTCAGTTGTTTCTAAGTTTAATCGTTCATTGTTAATTTCAGGAGGACAGGAAAAGAAGACTTAGATACTGTAACAGACTTAATTTCTCTACATTTGTATGAGAAACAAGATGCTTGTTGAAGAACACAATCCAAGGATTAGAAACATGGGATCGAAGAAGATGAAATAGAAAACATATAAATTACTTTTTACTGACTTCATTTAATGTAAAAGAGACAATGCATTGAAAAATCAAAAAAATATGATTCATTTCCTTGGCAGAGCCTTTTAAAATTTTCACTTCGATGCAGTACAGATTTTTGGTAACCAAATTCCTTTATGGTTACTCCTTTGAAACTGTAGTCCATAATATAAAACCTGAATAAAGACAAAGGTCAAACTCTGTAATAGCTCAAGCCCACCACTAGCAGGTATCACCGTCAACCTTATAAGTAATGCTTCGTTCCTCTCTCCAACCGTTGTGGGATCTCACAATTCACCTCCTTAGGGGTCAGCGTCCTCGCTGGCACACTACCCAGTGTCTGACTCTGATACCATTTGTAACAGCCCAAGCCACTGCTAATAGATATTGTCCACCTTGACCCGTTAGGTATCGCTATCAGCCTCATGATTTTAAAACGCATCTGCTAAGGAAAGGTTTCCACACCCTTATAAGGAATGCTTCATTCCCCTCTCCATCCAACCGATGTGAGATCTCACAAACTCAATCCACAAACACCAATCGAGGTATATCAAATTATTTTGTTGAAGTACTACTTTCAGTTCAAACATTCTTTGCGATTCATTTGAAGACAGTACAATATCAAGGAATCACAAAATGTAAATGGGACAGAGAAATCCTGGATTCCAAAACTGTATTCGAGATTACTTCCAGTCAAAAACACAAAATCAATCCATAAACACACTATCAAGGTATCAAACAGAGTGAAAACTTACCAGAGAAGAGATTTATTGTCAAGATCCTGCTTGGGTACATCACGGCCTCGCATTGTCACCAAGTCCAAGAATATGGCTTTATTTTCACAACAGATAACTAGAAAATGCCTCCCTTTTGTGGAAGGGGCAGGGGAACTCAAAGCTGATGTAACTTGATTGACAGCTGAAGGAGCTTCAGCAGCTACGGAACGGTTCCGCCACAGTTGCCAAAATCGAACGTCGTCGTCATAAAAACTCACCTGCTTCACACTGCATCAAACAGTGTATCCCATGAGTTAGTTTTCAAACCGATGCAGACAAAAGAAAACAAGGAAATGCTAGACTCACACCTTCCCCCTCGTATTGCTTCAGTCGGCTTCCCCTTCGAATCTAACAATCGCGTTCAGGAGACACAAATCAGCAGAAAATTTTCAGGTTACGATTCAGAAAATTGTTCAAAACATAAGAATTAAAGAAAAAAAGGAATCTCGACGGATCGAACCGAATTCGCCCTCAGCGAGCTTCTCCAACTTGGCACCAACAAGACGCCTCTGATCAATTCCGCCTGCTTTGAGCTCGTAAATGACCTGCCGATGCTCCCAATTCCATACAGAAACGTGATCCGACGCATCGGCGGTTACAAGCCATGGATGGGTCGGATGCATCTGTATCTTCACGATCTTCTCGTTCGAAGGCCGGAATGCTCTTAGCCTCAACATTTTTCTTCCCTTTCTTTAGTTCAGCAGCACCGGAACCTACTTCAATTCAACAGGAAAACCAATATTGAGATTCAAATCTCATGAACAATGCTAGCTAAACGCAGCTCTCGACTTCAATTTGTTGTCTGATTCTTGTGGTACTCGCCGGCGATGGATTTTATAGGAACGATGAAGGGATCTTCAGAAGTCCGGCGCTGGCTTCAGCTCAGAAGAGCAACCGTGCGCCGTGGCAAAGACTTGGTTTTTTTCCTTCCGGTACTTCGAATGGTCTCAAAACGACGTTGTATTGTCAGCTCGTCTGCTTAAAGTAACATTACCAAATTAACCTTTTAATAATGTATTAATTCTTTTTATACATTTTAATAGATAAAATACTAATTATCATTTATACATTAACGAGGATTCAATGTCTAAGAAAAGATTATTAAAACATACAAAAATATATATATATATATATATATATATAATAATTAAATGTAATTTTAGCTTACACACCTTTATTTCTTTTTTTTTTTTTAATTATTCTAAATCAAAATAACCATTATGAAAAAAAAAATTATGACCTAACTGCTTAAATAAAATACTGAAAATAATATTCTAATAAAAAATAATAATATTTCATTTAGCTTAGTATAATTTTAAAAAATTCAAGTTTTAATAATTACCGCACAATCTTAAAAACTTAAAATGAACGATATCATTTTGATAGACACCAAAGTCTAATCCGAATTGACTTAACATTTTGATAGACACCAAAGTCTAATCCGAATTGACTTAAATAGTCATGATATATATAAAGTACTTTCCTGATTGCCTCGGCAAGAAGACTAGAGGACTAGTCTTTGACCTATATCGAAGCAACGCCAGAATTTAATTAATATATTTAATGATTCGAGTTTCAATATTACAACATAGTTTTCAAGAACTAATTACTATAATAATAAATAAACCGACCACTTTAAACTTTCGAACGGGCTATATAACTTTCAAAGTTTTTACAAAGATTTTGCTCAACAAGATGTTTGAATAATTACTTCTATGTCAATCATTGCTAATAAATAGATACATCAATAATTTTGTGTTCCAAATAATTACTCGAAACCATTCAATCGAAGATACTAAATGCACGAATATTTTCTATATTGAATAAGTAAAAACTAGATGAACAATCATTCAATTAAGTGAATTACAGAGATTAAAACCCAGAAGCTGCTGGTTGTAGTAGATTAAGTGGATGAACAATCAATCTTGGTTTGCAGCAGAAAGTGTTGTCGTCCTGGTAAAACAAACCAAAAACTCTGTATTACCCTCAGCGCCCTTCAATGGCGACTCAATCCAACCTTTGCTGCAGAATCCAAAACTCTCCACACCCTTTATGATCTTCTCAAGAACCTACAGTCATTATTCAACAACCATGGTGTGAGCTACATTCTTCATTCATCCTATCCTATCAATTAAAGCCCATAAGAATTCTGCATTTGTTAAGCATGTGTCTTGTTTTAGTGAAACAGCCCAAAGCTCACCATTCGTAGATATTATCCTCTTTGAATCTTCCCTTTCGAGCTTCCCCTCAAAGTTTTTAAAACACGTCTGTTAAGGAGAGGTTTTCATACCCTTACAAAGAATGTTTGCTCTCCTCCCCAACTGAGGTGAGATCTCATAGTAAAACCCTCGAGGGGAAGCCCGAAAGGGAAAACCCAAAGAGGATAATATCTACTACCAGTGAGGTTGGGCAGTTACGTTAAGAATAACAAATGGACAAATGGACAGATAATTACAAAGGACAAAAATAATAAGTTTTAAGAGCGAAAGCCATCAAACTATTTTTTAATCACATAAAAGTGTCATAACCTTGTTAACTTTAAATGTTCTTATTATATAAAAATGACATATACTTTAGTAAACGTATCTTTGTTGTGTTCGTTGTGTTCGTGTTCTAGATTTAAATAACGTGTCACCATGTATACAAACTTTTTATAGTGCATAGATGATCTAATGACTGCTCAACCTCAGAAGTGATAATCTCAAGATAAACCAAGAATTAATTCCAATTAGAGAACTTCAGTAACATGAATTATCTCTCTAAGCAGGGTAAAAAGGAACAAAACATATTAAATTAAATAGAAATAAAGGAAGGAAAAATGTATACCTCCTGGTGAACTTGTGGATCTCTCACGATTCCCTTACCTCCTACCTGCAAAAAACCATATCTTCAAATGAATGGTTAACATAAACTTATTGTGTTAGATATCTATTTTATCACTCTGAGTTTTCATAATTTCGTCTATTTTTACAAGATGCCTGGTTTCCATGATTATCAGTAGATTATAAAATGATAGCATAGGTGCGAGTCAAGGTCAGCATCCACTGACACGAGCCTGCTACCTTTCAAGATATTATGCCCTAGGATTATCACATACAGAACTTTCACTTATGGCATCAATTGTTTTAATATGAATGGGGATTACCAACCAATTACATGGACTATGCATAATTGCACCTGTGACATGTTCAATTCTCTATTTAAGAAGCGACTCGAATAGCCTTCTCTTTTTTTCTTTTTTTTCTTTTTTCTTTTTGGTGAGAAGCCTCTTCGAGACCACGTTGATATTGTAGGAAAAGATGAGCTTGGGCAAAAGCTCATAGGTTGGTTGAATACTAAATTCTGCTTAGGCTATGTGTTCTGCTTATGCGCTACTAAGCCGGCACACAAGATTTTAGATAGGTTTCGTCCCCTTTTGGAAACACCTTCTTACTAGTACGAGCTAAGCCTGATGCAAATAAACTGAAAAAGGAAGATGTTGGTCAATTCTTTGTAGATGAGATGTAGTAGATGAAAGAAATATGAAAGGGTCTACACAGCACAAACCCACAAAAGGAATCCCAAGATTAACTACAAGAAGGGGTTCCAATCCAAAAGGATAAAACCAAGTGGAATAGCCTTCCCTTTTGAGACTAATAGTCTAAGTGACAGTAAGAGTGTGGGACTAGAAAGGTGGAAGAAAGCCATCATTGAAGGAAAGGAAGATCGGTACTTTTTCAGTCAATGTTCTTTTACATTCCCATTCACCATTTCTCCATATTTAAAACTTCATCAACGGCTGCTAGCTTTTCAAGATTACATCCTTTGAAATCGGTGGAAGAGGAAGGTGACCTAGGTTAATTGGGTAACATCATCGAAACAAAAGTGGTTGAAGGTCTTAATTAGACATATTAGCTATAATGCAAACCAAAAAAGCAGTCAGTACATAAGGGAACTGCCACACTCAAGAAGGGAAAGAACTCAGAGCCTTCTTACTTGTGATCGACGACATTCAAATTGAGGTTTCACCAAAGTAACAATTGTTGACGTTTCCTTCATTACATTGACCACAGCAGGCATAACCTGATACATAAACAAATAAGAGTATGCAAACAAATGGAATAAGAGAAAAACAAAAGTCTTAAAATGACCACTGCAAGACCTTTTGTTCAAAATCATGGCGCTAGTGACTAGTGACCAAATTTATACTATGGTATAAACCATACTTACATTGACCAGACCAAACTAATTAAAATAAGATAGCCAATAAGGAGCTACAATACAATAAGAAACGTCAAGTCTGTGGTCATTATTCATACTCCATAATTTCATTTAAAGGGAAAAAAAAAGACTTGAAAAGGAAAAGAATTGTGTAAAGAAAAGTTGTTTATATGCACATTAATTAGCTACAGACACCTAACTCCCAAACTTCTAATTTCCTCGCTCACATCCCGAGACTTTTAATCCCCAAATTTCAGAGGTCAAGATCGGAAAACTACCAAATTAATATGAGCTTATTCTTAAGACATGAGATCTCTTTTTGCACCTTCTTCTTTTGGTATCCTAGAAATGGAAATTTTCATTTAGTTCTGCAGCTAAGCATGTTTTAGAGCAACAACAAAGCAAAAGATTTGTTTTGCATGCCACACGGTATATTCACAACTTATTGAGAATAGAACTGGTCAAGAATATAAAATACTTCAGTGGGGCAGTGATACAAAAACACCAAATATTTGTTCACAGATATTCAGCCAAACCAGATTTCTACATAAAGTAGGAAAAGTGTTATCAATGGTTATTTGTCAAAGAACATCTTGACGGCAAATGAAAAGGAAAATTGTTTACTTTTTCAGCTTAAAAAACCAAAAATGTTTCCCTGCTATCAAAGTTAGATTAAACAAACAGTTGTGAAAAGTATCTGAAACCTTACCAAGAGAATAGAGATAAAAGAAAGGTCCAGAGTCACAATATCAACTTTTTGAGGAAGTCCAGCAAGATACCGTAAGTTCGTTCTTTCCATCACACAAACACGTTCATCTCGACGTATCTTGTCAGCAACCTAAAAATTCTGCAGATCAATGACGTATCACAGTGGAATAGAAGAAAGTGTGGGAGGCATTATTTGCTAGTTTCTCACGTAACTATAGAGGGTAGCAACAGTGAACAACGGTTTATCGACCGATCGGGTTAAGCATGCACTTATTACTATATTTGATTAGTTGGATGGTATTTTCTTATCTCTTAAGCCAGCAGATTTACTTTCTAGTCATTTCCCTTCTGAAGTACAACTTCTTCGATTCAATTGTTTATTGCATTGGAAAGATGGACAAATCAATGAAATTTCGTCAAACTTTTCTATTAGAGATAACTATTTGCGCATTCATCAACTGTAAACAATATTAAGTAGATAAAGATCAATGCCTTAGGAAGAAGTTTTAAAAATTTTACCTGCCCATAGCCAACATCGACTCCATAAACAAATGAAGCCCCATGTTGAAGCAAACAGTCAGTAAATCCTCCGGTGGATAATCCAGCATCAAGAGCAACTTTCCCATCAACATCAACACCCAGCTGTTCAATGGCAGCTTCCAACTTGAATCCTGCTCTGGATTTTGTGAAATTGTGAAATTACAGCAAAAAAAGAAGTTTGGATTAACTTCTGAGACTCTGTTTAATCTATAAGGAAAAACAGGAAGTTTTCAGCTAAGTTTTATCACCTACATACATATTTCGGAACTTCAGCAATTATCTCGACCTTAGCTTTATCGCCGACGGGTGTTCCGGCTTTACTGACTACTTTGCCATCTACCAATACTTTACCTGCATAGAAATTCATCTATGAAACACAGAAAGTGAAGGAATTCGAAAATGACTGAAGTTCGTCATCGTCATCGACAAAATTCAATCGAAGTTACCTTGTAATATCCATGATTGAATGATTGTTCGGCTGTACTGCTGATACCTTTCAACACACATCTCGTCCAATCTCTTCTTCTTTTTCCTAAATAACACAAAAACATCTTCATTCCACTTGCAAACAGATATTTCGAAATTCGGGAACAGATTGAAACCAAAAATCCTTACAAATTCAGAGACTGAATCTTTCCCGATTTGGCGACGGAAAAGGCTTTAGGAGAAGCAGAATGAATCCGGCAGCAAGTTGGCGGCGACACGAGAAAAATCCTCGCAAAATTGTTTCGACTCAGTAAGCATTTCGACATGATGGGGCGTCGTTTTTTCACACGATTATGAAAATTCTATCTTATTGGCTACTCCACCAAGATTTCGGCCTCCCGATAAGATTGGAACTTCGGCAAAGCTTGACGTTCATACACGAACACGAAGCATAGGATTTAAAAGAGGTTCTAGGTTAAATCTTCGTTGAATCAACAAAATTTATTCAATATGGTATGGTATGGATGATGAACATAGATAATCATCAAAAGAAAAAAAGGGGAAAAAAAATAACCAAATATTTGTTATATCTCTATTAAAATCTTATCGAATATTGTTACGTTGCGCCCTGACTCGAGTCCCCATGTCCGCTCTTCTCTGCCTGCTACCCAAGGAAACTACAATTTCGTTAGTGTCTCGGGAAAAGGGAAATGAGGCGTTAAAAGAAAACGAAAACAAAGTGCAGACTGATAGTTTACGAGGTTCGGGAGAGAAGTTGATCATCCATGGGATAGTAGTAATTGTGCATTAGATCTTAGTCACGATAAATTTATCGCTAGTACGATTCAATTAGGCTTCCTCACCAGTCTCGTAGGGGTCGATGCTTTCGACTCCCTAGCACAAGCCTAAACCTCCGAAGACGACATCCTCAATGTTCGAGGCTGGGAATTCAATCAACGATAAACGTTCGTATCAAAGGTGGGTAATCCTATTCAGCTATATCTGTCGAAATATTCTCTATGAAAAGGAACATAGTATGACTTTTTAGCTCGTTGGAAGGAATTCGTACCAACGAGTTGTTTGTCATCATAAATCAGCCCTCGCAAAGTTTTCGAGCGTTCCACTAAAAACTCTCATTTGTTGAAGGATCAATTACTAGAGTGTTGCGCTTCTCAAGGCCGGCCCTCTTCACCCTCCACCTAAGTTGCTCAGAAAAGGCCCAAAGCCAATCTCAGGAACAACTAAGCTTCATAGGGTCTTTCTGTCTAGGTGCAGGTAGTCCGCATCTTCACATACATGTCTATTTCACCGAGCCTCTCTTCGAGATAGTGTCCAGATCGTTACACCTTTCGTGCGGGTTGGAACTTACCCGACAAGGAATTTCGCTACCTTAGGACCGTTATAGTTACGGCTGCCGTTCACCGGGGTTCGGTTGCCGGCTCCCTTGTCATCAGGTCACTAACTTCGTTGACCTTCTGACACTGGGCAGGCGTCAGCCCCCATACATGGTCTTACGACTTTGCGGAGACCTGTGTTTTTGGTAAACAGTCGCTCGAGCTAGGTCACTGCGACCCCCAATCTCCATTAGCTATTTTTGACATGAGCTCTTTAGTCACAAGCGTGTGATATAGCTACACCTAATTCTAAACCAACGGTCCAAGCCCACACCAGCACTCTGAAGATTGACCACAAATAAGATATATTAATGAAAGGATGATGTAAATTGATAAATTTTAAAAAAATAAAAATAGGGTTTAGATTTTTACGGATGTAATTTTAATTACAGCAGTAAAAAACAGGGTAGACATTGATTAATTTTTACCTGAAAAGTGAAGGGAAAGGTTATTTTGGAGAGAGAAGGGAGTGGAAATATCAAAAACGGGAGTGCCCTAAAAAAGGGGGGAGAAAGAGAGAGACTGGTGCTGTACCTCAGTGCCTGCAACAAATACTTTTCGTTGTCTACTTTCCTCTTTCCTCTTATTTTGCTTCCTCTCTTCCCTCATTTCTTCTCTTTCTCGCTCTGGTTTGGATGTTTGTATTTAATGTGTTAGGTCAAGCATTTATTTGCAGTCTCCGGAGTAATTTCTACTCTATATCTCACTCCATCGATCGGGTAATCCTTTTTTTTCTCCTTTTTTCTCGCGCACTTGGATCCGTTTCTTTTACAATTGTTTGTGGGCTTTTGTTATTTGCGCTGTTTACTGTGATTTTGCTTCACTGTCGGAGCTTTTTGTGGCGAATATCTGTTCTCGAGGATTCGATTATGGAGTTTTCTTTTCCAATTTTGAGCTATTTTTGTGTTGTTGAAGATCGGTTTTCTGCTTGGTGCTGTTTTAAGATCTGTTTGTTTTGTTTTTGTCGAATTGGGTTTAGTTTAGGGTGGAAATAGGGTTTTTTTTTTTTTTTTTTTTTTTTTTTTTTTTTTTTTTTTT